TTTCGATGCTTCGAAAATATGTCCCTAAACAATCACATGTATTACAAGTTCCTCCAGTTGATTTATAGCAAGATCTCACTTATCAAGAAGTTACAGTAGCCATAGTAGATAAATAAGTTAGAAAGCTTAGAAATACAAAAATCCCTATGGTAAAAGTTTGTGGCAAAGCCAGTCTGTAGAAGAGTATACTTGGGAGATTGAATCTCAAATGTTAGATAAATATAGTTATCTTTTAATGTATGACTGTATCTTAGAAAATTCGGGGATGAATTTCAATTAGGAGGGAAGGATGTAACATCCTAGATGCAATGAAAGTCTTATACTCCAAATGTTATGCAAATTAAGTAAATAGTAATAAAGATATATTTTATAAGTATGTGATCTATTTAAAAGATGAATGAAATGTAAGAAGTTTAATTTATAAGGTATTAAAATAATTTACATGAAAAATTCTAAAATATCTAAGCTATGATAACACAAATGCACAAGAAAATCTCCTAAGGAAATTAAATTAAAATGCACCATAATTCTATAAAAATAAAATATAATCTTAATCTAATTAAGTAAACTAAAAACTATGAATTAAAATATACAAAAAAAAGAAAAGAAAAGAAGAAGCTTAAGTAATAAAAATGTGAAATGACCCAAAAGGGCACCTACACTACTACTTAATCAAAGTAACTAAAAGGGGTAAGAAGGACAATTCACTCATTTAGGTGGAAGCTATCTTTTCTACAATAAAACAAGTGACTCATCTCTAAACTAAGGGAAAGAAGGACAAGTGTATGCGTGACTTGTCATCAAATTGAAGGAAAGAAGACAAGTGTAGGCAACACCACCTCTTCACCTCTTCATTTCCAATGCAGGCTTCTCCCTTTCACTTTCTTCTTTCTGCCATTCTAGCATTTCCTAAAGTTCATTTAAAACAAAATATTAAGTATCTGCAAGATTACTAAAGGAAAATTTAAGCTAACAAAGAAATAAGAGAAGAGAAAACAAAAGAAATTAAAAGAAAGGTATGGAATTCAAATTCTGCTTTTGATTTTCATATTTTCCTAAGCTTAAATATTTAAATTGATGAATTAAAACTCAAATTATCTTGTAAACATGCTACTTGATCAATTATGATGTTGAAAATTGATTTGGATTGAATATCCTAGTTTGTCATCGAGGAAAGACGACTAGTTGATTTAGAAACTTAAATTTTCAAAACTATCTCAATGAAACTTCTTCAATTCAGCCACTATTTTTTGTTAAATTAAATATGTAATCGAGCTTCAGAATTGATGAAATTTTACAGAGAGCCATCTTGGGATGTTTGGAAGGTTGTGATAAAAGAAAAAGTCCAGAAGATGAAAGGAAAGGAATTTATAGCTAAGTGAATACGGACGGCTTAGTGTGACACTCTAAACAGATTTCAATACAGTGTTTAGGCTGTTTGACCAATAAATAAACTTTAAAAATTATGAAATTTTATATAGAAATAACCTAAGATGTTACAAAGGTTCTGTTAAAAGGGAAAATCCAAATGATGAGGTAAAATAGAGATATTAATAAAAGAAAGAAGACTACTCAGTATATGAAAGCTAAAAATTTTGGTTCTATAATTGGATTATTTTAATAGGTAAATGAACTCTAAAATTCATGAAATTTAATATGGGAGTTCCCTGAGATGTTAGGAATATCGTGTAAAAATTTCATAGGAAAAGATTGTTTAGAAATGAAAATATAGTCAAGAGAATGCAAGTGACTCATATGCTGAAAATTCTTGATCTTCTAAACTTGCACTAAAATGAGCATATTAAAACATAAGTGAATAGACTATGAACATGAGCATTGGTAGATGAACATAAAGCTTAATGTGTGTAATTTTTGTCCCCAAAATTTCAGATTCAAATTTAATGAATAAAAATATCAAAGAACCTTGTATGTCAATAAAGAGCTAGAAACAAAACTAAAAGTACGATATGTGTTTAAATGTGAATATAGGTCGAGAATTGCCCCAGGGTTTTTATATTGGTCTTTTATTAGTTCTACAAACTTAACGCAATACCAAACTTATACTTACTCTTAAGTTCAGAAATTGATGAAATTTTAGCAGAGAGCCATCTTGGATGTTTGCGAAGGTTTGTGCAATAAAAAGGAAAGTCCAGAAGATGAAAGAAAGGAATTTATAGCTAAGTGATAACGGACGGCTTAGTGTACACTCTAAACAGATTTCAATAACAGTGTTTAGGCTGCTGTTTGCCAATAAATAAAACTTTAAAACACTTCAATATATATAAATCATTATATAGACAATAACAACTAAAGATGTTTACGGAAAGGTTCTGTTAAAAGGAAGTGTAAATCCAAATGATGGAGAGGTAGGAATGAATAGAGATATTAAATAAAGAAATGAAGACTACTCAGTATAAATGAACAGATAAAAATTTCTCGGTTAGCTATAATTGGGAAATATTATTTTAATCAGAGTATAAACGCATAGAACTACATATAAACTTCATTTTGTATAAATTTTAATATTGCGGCTATGTTCTCTCTCATAGTGTTATGATGATTAAAGGAATATCCCGGAATATTAATAAATATTCATAAAAAGAATTGTTTAGAAATGAAGAATAATAGTCAAAGAGAATTGCCACAGTGACTCATATGCTGGAAAATTCTTGAATCTTCTTAGATTCCGCACTAAAACCTTGTTTAGCAATATTAAAACATAAGTGAATAGACTATGAAACTATGATGTCATTGGTAGATGAACATAAAGCTTAATGTTGTGTAATCTTTTGTGCCTCCCAAAAATGTTCAGGATTCAAATTTAATGAATAAAATATCTATCCTAATTTAATGAATAAAAATATCAAAGAACCTTGTATGTCAATAAAGAGCTAGAAACAAAACTAAAAGTACGATATGTGTTTAAATGTGAATATAGGTCGAGGATTACCACGAAATCATTTCAAAATTATCAGTGATTGAGAGGAATCAAATTCTCGCTTTCAAGGTGAGTTATAATGTCTAACCCTTCCTTGTTACATTGGAACTTTGAACAAATGCATACCATTATTGGTATTTGAAACCATTTGTTAATTGTGACATTGAGATTGTGAATTGCGAAACCTATTTGGCTTATAGGCCTATTTGATTGTACCAAGTCATTTGTTTAGGCAATATCACAGAATCCCAACTTGATGGGGGGTTATACCATTAGGCTATGTGCACATAGAGATTTGTGATTAAAGGAAGAAGTTACTGCCCTGAAGTGTGTAAAGTATGATAGCACTGGAATGTACATAGTGATATGTTTATGGATATGCACTGGTGAATGTACGGATAGTGATGATGTTTTTCTCAGTGCTATCTATATGATTGATGTTAATTCAATTATTGATATTGCCTTTTGTGATATTGATGCCAAATAGGCTATGTGCACATAGAGATTTGTGATTAAAGGAAGAAGTTACTGCCCTGAAGTGTGTAAAGTATGATAGCACTGGAATGTACATAGTGATATGTTTTCTTCAGTGCTATCTATATGATTATGTATCAGATTATTGATATTGCCTTTGTGATATTGATCCAATAACTATGATTCTTTCTATATGGACTTATCTCTGTTGATGAGCTACAAGGTACTACCATCCTGTGTTACTATAAATATTGAACCTTGAGATACTTTTTAGTGCACATGCTACCAATATGACACTATAATCTCACTGAGTTGAGGACTCACTCAAGCGTCAATGGTTTCAGGTAGAGGTGATCCAGGTCCATCAACTTCTTGATTTTCTTCTTCCAACAAGAAGCATGTGAATAATGTAAATAGTTATCAGATATTATAAGTTGATAAGTTATATGAACTCTAATTGCTCCGTAGTACCTTTGTGAATGATATTAGCATGGTATGTATGTAAGCTATAATGTAAACAGTGTTATAACAGTGTGTTATGTGATTATACAAAATGTGTGAAAGATTGTATTCAATGATCCCGGGAATTAAATGAAAGTAAATAAGCTGACTATAGTCCACCTAAGTAACTAGTCAAGATAAGCAATATGTTGAGTTGGATTAGTTTCGTTGTGGATTCTACGAGGTGCCCGATGGCCTTAAGCCTACCTGAACCCTAGGACCTCGCACCATCAATTTTTGGGGTGTGACAAGTTTGTTCTCCGAATGGGCCACCATGTAAAAAGATATGCTTAAACTATGTTTTGTCATGTATATATTTATATATGACTATATGTGAAAAGAAAGAAAATTTCTGGTATTGATTTCCACTACTGAATACATGGTGTGACTTACATCTCTGTTAATGGTTATGTAGCATCTTAGCACTATTTATTCTCGGATATATAGTGTTAGGATGTTACACAGGTAATGCTCAAGTAATTTCTCTTCATCATACAAAATGGAGCAGTTGCTTTATCCTGCTAAACTCCTCATACATTTGGCTAAAATTTAATTCCTTGATTATGGGCCTTCAATTTTTTAAAGGTCTAATAAATTAATTTTAAGCTAAAATAAGTTATAAACACACAAGTCAAGCCCACATATAACATACAAAAATAAAAATATGGTATAAACAAAAGGACATATATTAGAAAATTTTAAATATATCCAGATATTTTTTAAAAAATATATTTTAATTCCTCGTAATATTTTTGATTTAGCAATATAGACAATTATAATATTATTTCTGGAAAGAAAAATTTAATAAAACATTAAATGTAAAGGAAAATAAGTGACGAGCGTTGGGAAACTATGGCTATCTGAAAAGCCAAGCCAAGTAAAAGAAAATGAATAAAATAATAATAAAAAGGGAACATAATTCTAAGTTGCAGTTAGAACCCTGAGGAAAAATAACAGCTTAAAGGAAAAGGCATAATTCTAGTTGGTAATTTGGTTGACGTGATGTGGAAGGAATTGCAATATGCAAAGTAACTTGAAAACGACTTAATTAATAATATCAGGCTACAACCAGCTTCTCGTCTTCTCCGCCTCAACCTCTGGTTTTCCCTTTAAATAATTAAGTATTACACAAGCTTTTTCATTATCGAAGATGGGGCTGTGGAAGGCGGAGGGAGTAGTTTACAAGGCTGTGGACGAGGTTGATCTTGGTCCTCATAGCTCTCATGTCTATGTACGTGCCAATGTTAAAGCTCCTCGCATGGCTGGATTTCTGGTTAAAATATTTGCCTGGTTTCTCGAGTCATGGCTGTTTGGACCTTTTCTCCTTTACATTTTGAAGAGAAACAATCTAATTCATAAGGTACTCTCTCTATTTCCCTTTTTCATCAACGGATTTATAGATTGCCGATATGTTAAATTTTTATCAATTCAATCCAATCCAGCAAATAGAGTGCCAGATTTTTTAAAAAATAAATTATATTTTAAAACCTTTTGAGATATGCTAGAAAAATAAAACATTATTTCATTCATCCTTTTTAATTTTTTATACTATATCTTAATTGAATATTTTTTAGAATGAAGACAAATTGAATATTTTTAATCATCAATTCGATAATTATTATAATTCAGAGTAGATAACTCGGTGGATAAAAATTAATATCCATTCAATTCACCCTCTATATTAAATTGGAATTGAATTTAAATTTACAAATAAATTATTAATATATATATAAAATAACTAAAAAAATTTAATTTATTTTGGATCAAAGTAATATTTTGATAAACTGATTTGTATCAGATTTTATCCATTATATTATATTTGACTGGAATCAGGTTGGGTCAAATATTATGTAGTGGATAAAAAAAACATCCTTATGCAGTGAAATATTTGTGAAATATTTGTGTTGTTGGGCCCACGTCAAAAAATGGCAACCTTGGGTTGGTGAGTTTTTATGATTTATGGTTGGAAAGAGTGCGTTATGACACTTGTTAACTTCATCTACCATTAGTTCATATGATTGATTTAATGACCTGTTAACTGTATCAAATCTCAAATTAATTGGTCAAATGCATTCCAATACGAGAAACACTCAGCAAGGTCAAATGGACTTGCAGTCAACTAACGATTTTTTATGTTAAAAAAAAAAAAAAAAAAAAAAAAAAAAAAAAAAATGAGTGGCGTTATGACACTCGGTGTTACCTTGCATAACTACCATTATCATATGATTGATTTAATCCGACGCTAGTTAACTGTACAAATCTCAAAATTAAAATTGGTCAATGCATTCCATTAGACGTAGAAACACTCTCAGCATAAGTTGTTCAAATGGAACTTTGTCTAGTCAAACTAACTGTATTTTCTTAATGTTAAAAAAATAAAAAAAAAAAAAAAATAAATAAAAAGAAAAACCAGAGCAGGGGCGTACATTTGAAGCTTGGATTAAAAATCAAACCCAGCCATATAAATTAAATAAAATTCGAAAATATTTAAATAAAAAATGATAAAAAATAGACTATTTTTATTAATTTAGTTAAATTAATAAAAAAAAAAAAAAAAAAAAAAAAAAAAAAAAAAGAGCAGGGGCGTACATTTGACAGCTTGGATTTAAAAATCAACCAGCATAAAATTAAATAAATCGAAAATATTTAAAAAAAATGAAAAAATGACTAGTTTTTAATTAGTTAAATTATTAAAAATAATTTTCTCTTTCATTATTGGATATATCTTACTGACGGATTTTTTTTATTTTTTAATGGTTAAAATAATATTTTTCTAATAAAATGACTTAATAATTTAATATGTCAATAATATAAAAATATTTTGATTTATTTTTAAAATAAAGCAACAAAATTATTAGTTAGATCAAATTTTAGAACAAAATAATAGTTTACTGTTTGAATATAAAAGCTAAGAATTTATTTGGCAAAATTAACGGTTTTAATAAATGTCACCGCTATTCATAGCATTTCATCAAATATTAAAAGGATTAATGATTCGTAATCCGCTTTTTCAAATTCTAAATACTAATATAAATACTATAGTACCAAATATTATAAATAATAAAAATTGTGTTTGAAATTAGTCAAAATAATAAAAAATATATGAAAATTTATTACCGAATAAGACCTAAACCAAATATTGATGATATGGTTTAATTTTCTGAATTGAACCATTATGTGGCATTCAAAGTGCACATGCCATACAGCATGGGTATCTATTTAAAATTCACTAAGTGAATCAATCTCGAACTCAATTATAATTACCATTTAAATATTTGAATCTGTTTAAATATTTATTTAACATTAAACTATTTTTATTTTTATTTTAAAAATAAAAAAGTAAAAATTATATAAAATTTTATTTTGACTTAACAAAAAATAATAATATCAAATATAATTATAATATTGATTAGTATGATTATTTTAAATATTTTTAAAATATTAGCTAAACAAACAATGGGTAGCAGATATCCATGTTATTGCACTTGAAGGTAGTAAAAATATCAACAAACTCGTCCCAAATTCGTTTATTCATCATTCGAATCCTCTAAACGGGTCGAATTGAATATCTATCAAATCGAATAAAATTGTCATTCCTAATTACAAGTGAAAATTTATTTGTGGGTAGTAGATATCCATGTTATTGCACTTGAAGGTAGTAAAAATACCAACAAACTCGTCCTAAATTCGTTTATTCATCATTCGAATCCTCTAAATGGGTCGAATTGAATATCTGTCAAAGCGAATAAAATTGACATTTCTAATTACAAGTGAAAATTTATATGTCGAAAGGGGATTGATATATATTGTCAAGGAGGCGATAAACAGTGAGAGCATTTTGTTGAATTTGACAGAGTGGAAAATTTATAGTAGTGGGGATTATAGGGGTTTGAGTGATCATATTTTAGTAGTAAGTGTATATATAGGCTTAATAGGGATTTAGTTTTTTGGAGGGGGGTTATTGCAGATTTTTAGAGTACTCTCAGTAGAGTGAGATGAAATAGGAGACGAACCCTGTAGCACTGTACTAATTTTTATATATATACACACAAAAAGAGAGAAAAGGAGAGAACCGACTGTACAATTTTTCTTTTTTAATTAATTCATTAAGAGGCATAGTAACTGAATTAGTATGATGGGATATATAACAGGGGTAGTCATTCCTTTAACTTACCAATCACCAAATTGATAAAGACTCTTGTGGTTGAGAGAATTCAAACTCAAAATTTCACTTTTCACAATGAGAAAATCAATTAAATCACACGTGATTGGCTACGGTACAATTTGAAATGAAATGAATGGAATGATTTCATTCGTATGGCTACCAAAAATATATTTAAAAAATCATCTCTCCACCATTTTCTGGTTGTTTCTTTTTTCTAAGGATGAAAATATTATAAGTCCATGGATCTGTTTTTCAAAAAAAAAAAAAAAAAAAAAAAAAGTAGAAAGTGAAGATGGTGCAGTGGGTCTACCATGTAAAAAAAAAAAAAAAAAAAAAGTAAGAAAGTGAGATGGTGCAGTGGGTCTCCATGTTTCGGTCGAGCCTCCTAGTGCTGTTGTCCCGTTGCTCCGCGAGGATCTGCAAGGTGTTTCCTTGCCCAGGATTGTGCCTGTGATGAGCCAAGGATGGTTTACTTTTTTGGGCTCTATCTCTCCCTTGTATAAAAAAAAAAAAATCACCTTTAGAAATATCTTTCAAAAAAAAAAAAAAATTCTTATAAAATATATTCAAGATATTTCATTTATATTATTCAGTTTTAATGTTTAAAATTATAAGACTACAAGACTGTTTTGAATAAAAAAAACTTCATATTCAAAAAATTAATATTTTTTTTTTAAAATTATTGTTAATAATAATAAAAAAAAAATACATAAAAGCTGTTGTCAGAGTGATCGGTATCTGTTCGTGATGATTGATAATAACGATTGACTACAAGAAATGGATGCATTAATAATAAAATGTGTATTTAGAAGCTTTTTCTTTAGTTATGATAAGTTTTAACAAAATTTGAAAAATCTTTTTTTCTCTAAGAAATGGAAGTTATTTTTTTATTTTTATATTGCTTGGTTTCATATTTGACCAAGGAAATATTTTTGGTAGACTTGTTTGAACTTTTAAAAGTAATTTTAAAACAAATCAAGGACTGATTCTCTATCCAAATTTACTTTTGCAGCTAGTTTCAAATGCAGAGCTGGAGGAATCCCCTGTTTATGTACCCTTTCATCCATTTGAAGGTTTGTTAAGACATAAGAACACAAATAAAGAGTCATTTATTTTGGCTGAATTTTAAATCAACAATTTGTTGAGCTTAATAATAAATAAATGGTATTAAGAACTGATTACTGAATTATTAATAAAGAAATACTCCTACCATCTTACTCTCTTCTATGGAATTAATACAACCATGAATCATATCAATTTTAGAAAAATAAGAGTAATTGACTAATTTGCCCCTTTAATTAATGATCATTGACAAAATTTGATTTATTAGTTGAGCTCACACAAACAATAACACAGAACAAACAAACGAGCTTTCCTAATTATATAAATTTATTTAATAATTGATTTGTGGTTGACATGTTCAGAGGTGAATGAAGAAGATGTGAAAATAATAGATAGTGAGTTATCTCCACCTGAACGAGTTGAAGAGGCGATTCATTGCTTGCCTTCTTCCTCACCAAGTTCATACAACTCTTTCCAATTCTATCGCTGGACAATAAAGGATTATTCGACAGCCTATACTTCAGGACAAATAACTCCCCGCATGGTACTGTTATTGAAAAGATAGATTAGATAATAAGGAACGTCAACTACTTTCGCTTAGTAATTAATTGAATGCAGGTGGCAGAGAGATTGATTGCTGCCATCCGCGAATCTTCCTCTCCTGCAATGGACATGTGTTTCTTTATTTCTTATCAAGTGGATGACATTTTAAGGCAGGCGAATGAATCAACTTTACGCTATCAAAAAGGTACATTTATTACCCAACTTTTATACTTTCTCATTATTGAAACTGGAAAGTAAGTGCTGAATCAATAAATGCTGCATTTACTGAAACATTTACGTTTTTATTATTCTCTTCAGTGTAAATTTTGATTTATATTTTAAATTTTAGGTTAAATTTATAATTAGAAATATTTTATAGTCTTATAAGTTAAAAATCTTAATATTTTAAACTAATTTTTAATATTCCAATAAAAAAAATAGAAAAATGAATTATTCAGAAAATATTTTTAAACATAAGTTATTTTTCAGAAATAAATAGACTAAAAATTTTGTGTTTGGATCAGTGGATTCGTTTATAATTTTGATATTGAATTATAAGATGAAAAATTAACAGGGCAGCCAATATCAAGTCTAGATGGAGTTCCAATTGCAATCAAGGACGAAATAGATTGTACTCCTTATCCGACCACAGGTACATATATAATTGAAATCTAATAATAATTAAACTCAAAATTCATAGATATGTAACTTTAATTTGGTTGTGCAGGAGGTACCAAATGGCTACATAAGTATAGATCATGTAAAGCAGACGCTTACTGTGTTATGTGCCTTAGATCATGTGGTGCTATGCTTATTGGAAAAACTAACATGCATGAGCTTGGAGCTGGAACAAGTGGCATCAATCCGCACTATGGGTATTTTTTTTTTTTTTTTTTTTTGGAGCTGGAACAAGTGGGCATCAATCCGCTACTATGAGATGGGTAATTTTTTTTTTTTTTTTTTTTTTTTTTTCATTGTTTTATGTATTAAATAATTAAATAATACTCTAAAAAAAGACATATGTGTGTTATAGGGCAACTAGAAATCCATATGATGCAGGGAAGATCTCTGGAGGTTCTTCTAGTGGATCAGCAGCAGTGGTAGCTGCAGGGCTCTGTCCTGTGGCCCTTGGTGTTGATGGAGGAGGTAATACAACCTCCAATTAGTATTCAATCTCCAAATTAAGATGTGCAAAAATAAATAAATAAATAAATGCAGGGTCTGTGAGAATGCCAGCAGCTCTTTGTGGTGTTGTAGGTTTGAAACCAACATTTGGGCGTGTACCTCATTCTGGGTCTGTGCACTTTTTCTTTTCTTTTCTTTTCTTTGTTTTTTTCTTGTAATTATTATTATATTAATGACTTTTCCTTCTCTTTTATGTTTCAGTGTTCTTCCTCTCAACTGGACTGTTGGGATGGTTGGGGTATTAGCAGCCACCGTAGAGGATGCATTCATCGTGTTAGTATCCATGCGTGTTAGTATATATATATATATTAATATATAATATATATAATATATATATATATATATCTATATTATATTTTTTTTTTTTCTTTTTCTTTCTATACTTTTATCTATATACATAACAAGCTCTGCTTTTCCTTATATTTATATTTCAGTTACGCAGCTATTAGTGGCCAACCTCCATCGCATGAGCCATTTACCATGACACCGGTAATTAATTTTTTCTTTCTTAAAGGAACATGGAATTTATTTAATTTATTTATAAATTCAACTAAAACTATTTATATTTGAAAGTGCATAATTATATTTATTTTAATTCCGTGTATTTGGCCTCATTTTCTAAATGATTTTACGTTACCCTTCATGTATCATTTATCAGTTTCACTTCCTCCTTTTCCTATTCCTGACTATATCATTTTTCCTTTCCCAAAATTTACCAAAAAAGAAAATAATAATACTAAAGAGGAGAAAAGGACTGTTTTGTTGTTTCTTTTTTTTTTTTAAGAATAAAGAAATTAAAATTAGTGGTATTTTGGTAGTGCAATTAGCCTATAATAGTCACGTGTATAGTTTTTTTGGCACGTGAATTTGATACTTTAAATAAACTTATACATTTGTATCTTCTCAAGGAAAAAAACCAAAATATCCATTTGTATATTGGAGTTAAAAAAATTTATATAAGGGATTAAACTAATAAAATTTTGAAATTGAGATATTGAATAAGTAAAATTGGGAAAAAGAAAACTGACAGCTTTTTCATTATTGATTTCCAATTTTATTTTTCACCTATTAGCCAAAGGCATATTTTCCACTGTTGAAGCCTACTAGTCCAATTTCAAGCATTCGACTAGCAAGATATGGAGAGGTTAGTAACCAGTTTCTCATCCTCATTCAATATAATGGACATGCTTTATGGTGAGCTTTTGCATTTATATATATAGCACACTCAAATTTTACTTGCAACTACCATTTTCTTACTTACAAATCTCTATCTTTGTAAATGGATCGCGAAATATGTCGTTATGAGCAATTTTGAATGGTGCTCGAGTTTTGTAGTAGAAAAATGTCAAATGCGCATATCATTAAGCTAAAGAAAGATCAAAAGTAGTATCTGCCAGAGCCTGAATACAATAATAAGTAAATCATTAAGAAATAAGTAATTACTAGACTGATAGTCTACATATTAGAAGTTGAAAGGGTAGAGGTAAATTGAGTAAGAGGGTAAAACCCATGAGGTGAAAATGTGTGATATGAACTTACTTTAAACTTGGGCCAACCAATGCTAAAAGCCTAATCAATTAGCTACCTAGCTTGCTGCTCTTAACAAGGTGTTACGTATATATAACAGTAAGGGTAGAAAGATATTATAAAATTAAAGTAGCTAAAAGATAAATACGTTAGTTAGAATATTCTCAATTATTAGGATAGTACACATAGCTGGCTTTTTTTTTTTTTTTTTTTTTTTTTGGCTTTTTTTTTTTTTTTTTTTTTTTTTTGTGGTGGCAAAAGAAGAGCAAAACAAAAAGCAGAAACCTATCTCGAAAAGTTAATGCTACAAGCATCAGCCCAAAGAATCAAAGACAAGGAACTAGGAATAGCTTCCCAAATGAATAAAGAAAAAGGGATGACATGCCCCTACTTGGCCAAATGATCAGCCGTGGAATTAGCTTCACGAAACACATGATGGATAGAACACTCCCATCACGAGTCATCAAGCTCTAAATATCCTCCAAAATAAGAATAGCCAAAGGCCAGTCTAATAGCCTTTAAACAATCAGACTCAATGACAACCTTACGGAAACCACGGTCCCAAACAAGAATAAGCCCTGTCCGAATAGAGGACAACTCACCAACTAACATAGTAGAGTGACCAATATTAAGAGAATAGCCTCCAAGCCACCTCTCCTAGCAATCACGGCACACACCACCAGCACTAGATATTAAGAGAATAGCCTCCAAGCCACCTCTCCTAGCAATCACGGCACACACCACCAGCACTAGTCAACCCTGGATTAGTAAGACTACTACCATTATAATTTAACTTCACCCAACCCTCTTGAGGCTTAACCCAAGCCACACAAAACTGCCTACTAACTCTAGCCGAAGCAACAGTAGGAGTAGAAGAATTCACAATATCCAAAGTTACTTTAAAACACAACGATTTAAAGCAGAAACAATAATAAATTTATTTTGAAAAATATACAAGTTTCTTGCTTTCCAAACCCACCAAATAGCAGCTAAAAACCAATGATGCTAGGAGATACCAAAGGGACCAAGCATGTACAAGGATAAATTTAAACGCAACCACAACACAATATCATCCACCTCGAAAAAATTAGGAGGCAAACTCCACTGCTGCCACTATTCCCGCACCACTACATAATCACAAAAAAGATGCAACATAGACTCCTCCTCCACAGAACATAAACTACATAGACTAAAAAGATCCATACCTCTCTGAAATTGAAAAGAATTAGTCGGCAAATGGCTATGGAGAATCAGCCAAAGGAAATGTCTCAATTTATGCAAACCATCAACAGATCAAATCCATGAGAAAGAAACACAATCAATACCAACATGCACCTCCTCCAATAATAAAGATAAATAGGCTGCTTTAACAGAAAACTCACCATTAGAAGAAACATTCCATGAAATGAAATCCTGAACAGAAGCAACCAAAGGAGGAGGAACCGCATAAATTAAGCACTTAATATCATTAGAAAGACAAGTGTGTAATACAAAAAGATCCCAAGAACCATTATGAATAAGATTGCCCACCCGAAAATGCTCCTTACCCCTGAAATAGATCCTACCAAATCCACCAGAGGACCCACAGGCAACCAAGAATCATACCATAAGCTGATTTGTCGACCATCCCCTACTCGATAAGAAACATGAACTGAAGATGTTGGAAACTACAAACAATCCCCTTCCAAGTACAAAAATCACAACCCCGCAAGACCGGAGGAAAAGAGTGACCATGATAATATTTATGAGTCAAAACCTGGACCCAAAGAGCCGAGTCATTCATAAGAACCTTCCAACCCAACTTACCCAACATAACAACATTAAACAACCGGGGACTCCGAAAACCCAAACGCTCAACCTTGTTAGGCTTAATAAGCCAATTCCATCCAACCAAATGCTTCTTATGACGCTCCACCGTAGACCACCAATAAAAATTACGAGACAACTTATCAATAGTCCCACAAATAAAAGAAAGTAACCACACAGTTTGCACAGTATAAATAGGTACAGAAGAAACAAAAGATTTAATAAGAACTTCCTTACCGGCAGGACTAAGCAAACGGGACCTCCAATTCGCCAAACTAACCTCCACCTTCTGAATAATGTCCTAATACAGCACCACAGAAGATCGCCTATGAAGTAGAGGAATCCCCAGATACTTGCCTAAATTTGAGGTAAACACCTCATCCAATAACTACTGGAGCTTATGTCGCATAGGGCGAGAGACCATCTTGGAGAAGAAAATGCGAGATTTGGCCAATAACTACTGGAGCTTATGTCGCATAGGGCGAGAGACCATCTTGGAGAAGAAAATGCGAGATTTGGCCAGATTAGCCTTCTGCCCACTACCTCCTAAAAAATCCACCAAAACATCATGAACTACTTTAGCTTGCCGCACAGAAGCTTTCCCGAAAATAATTAAGTCGTCGGCAAATAGCAAATGACTAATAGGAGGACAACCCCTCGAAGCACGGGCTAGGGCCCACTTGTTCCCTAACCACCTGACGCTGAATCAGTAAAGATAGCCCCTCCATACAAAGGACAAACAAATACGGGTATAAAGGGTCAACCTGATGCAGACCCCGAGAAGGTATAAAATGTCTTGAAGGCACAAAATAATAAGAAGAACTCCCTTTCCAAAGCACTGCCAAAGAAGACTGGGCAAGAGCACTCATAATCAAAGAAACCCACAAGTCAGGAAAGCCAAAAGAAACCAAACCAAACCGTAGAAAATCCCAATTCACTCTATCATAGGCTTTTTCCAAATCAACTTTCAAAGCAAAATGACCCATTTTAGACTTAGATCTCTAGAAAGAATGAAGAAGCTCCTAAACGATAATAACATTATCAACCGTAGTACGTCCCGGAATAAAACTACTCTGATAAGGACTAATCAACCCATCCGTAAAGGGTCATAACCAAAGAGCCACAACCTTCATAACCACCTTATATAAGACATTACAAAGAGTGATCGGCCTGAACTGAGTGATAAATTCCAGAGCAGCAACCTTAGGAATGAGAACAATAAAACCTCTGGCATCACACCAGTAGAAAACGTGTGATTAACAAAAGAGACCACCTCATCACCCACAATATCCTAATACTTCTTAAAAAATAAAGGTTGGAACCCATCAGGCCCCGGAGCTTTAAAAGAACCCATACTAGGGATTACCGCCCAAACCTCATCCTTAGAAATTGGCCTCATCATATCTGCCACAACATCTGCTGATAAATGAGGAAAAATAATATCGGAGAACACAGACGGAGAAAATTGCGAATTAGCAGAAAACAAAGAAGCATAATTATCACAGGCTAGACCCTTAAGAGTAGGAGGATCTGAAATCTAATCACCAGCATCATTTTTAAGAAATTCAATCTTATTGTGTTTTCGACGAACCCGAGTAACAGCATGATAATATTTAGTGCATTAATCACCACCCTGAAGCCAAGAAATGCGAGATTTCTGAAACCAGAAAACCTCCCCCTTGTGCAAAATCAAATTATATTGAGATATCAAATCCTTCTCTAGATTAAGAAAGAAGGTAGAGACCCAACGCTGCAAAACTGCCTGAACCCCCTTAATATGACGAAGAAGGACTCGCTTGTTATAATGGATATTACTTAACACATCTCGATTTCAATTACAAGCCTACTCCTGAACATTAGAAAGAGCACCAGATATAAAAGAATGTTGTTGAGCCCAAGCCGACTCTACCACTACTCGAAAATCTTCCCTAGTAGCCCAAGCAGCTTCAAACCGAAAAGGTTTAAACACAGGGACAGGAGAAAAAGCCTTTAGTAGCCAACAACAAAGGAAAATGATTAGAAGCAAGATGAGGTAAAGACATAAGAGACGCCTTAGGAAAAGCAAACCGCCAATCTGAATTACGTAAAGCCCTACCTAGATGCTTTTGAATGACCCCAACACCGATAATAGAAAGGGTCCATGTAAGCTGACACCCTGAGCAACCCAAATCCATCAAGGAAAAACGGTCCCAATTATCCACAAAGCGTCTACAATTTAAAATAGAAGCAACAACACCACCCCTCTTCTCCACAGGGCTAGCAATATCATTAAAATCACCAAAAAGCAACCAAGGCACAACCATTTGACTAGCAATATAGAGCATCCGAGACCAAAACAAATCCTTCTAAGAATGGACAGGACCAATATAAAAAGCAGTTAAAAACCAAACAGCATAACCAAGCACAGATATAGAACAATGCACAAATTGAGAATTAACATGCAGCTCATGAATACTACAAGAATAATTTTGCCATAAAATCCACACACCATCAGCAAAACCAACAAGGTGAGAAAGAATAAAATTCAAAAAACCAAGCTTACGGGCTATAGAAACGGCACGAGCATCAGAGATACGTGGCTCCATAATAATCAAAATATCAAGTTTGTGCAATTTATGAAACTCCTTAACCTGAATTCTAAAACCCTTCTTAGCCGCACCACCATAATTCCACATAATAACTTTTAAATCCATAAAAAATGAATTAAAAAAAGAACACAAGAAAAGCACCTTTCAACGAGACTGCCGAGGGCTACGGCTTCGACTACGATAGCAACAGCCGGACAACACAGTACCTCCAGCCGCAACACCACCAAAAAATCACTCTTCATTATCGTCACTGAAAGAAGAATTTGATGCCACATAGTCAGCACCAACCCCACCAATGCTAATAAAGTGCGCCTGCAGAATCGAAGAAAACCCAACAATGACTAGTGGGTCAGGCAGGTCAGGATCTTTCAACTTGTCAACACACCGCAGGACCCGACTATGAGACCCATCCTTAACCATATTCAAACTCGCATCCACAGAAGGAGGCACAGTGGACTTTGCCAAGTCAATACCCAAAGTAACATTGCGTGAAGCTTGGAGGGCTCCATCTGAATAGACCCATGTCCAATAACATCCCTGCCTGATCCCCCTTGTCCACTGGCAACTGAGACCCATTAACTGGCTCCACCAACATGCCCAAAGGCTCGCTAGGGGGATAAGTCACAGATCGGCCCACACCTGAACAGATCCTATTGAAGGAAAAATATCTCACTGACGCACTAAAGGCCCATCTTTTAGAACAGATCAGCCTAGACCCAAACCTTCACTCAGGTCCACAACAGCATGCTTCCCCTTATTAACACCCCCTAGCCCGATGCTTCACTGTTGCAGGCCTATTAGAGACCAAATGACCTATAGCAGATTTCACCACGTGACTCTCCTTAGCCAAGGAAGCAAAGTGTTTGGCTCTTACCGTAACCAAACGAGATGAAGGCTTATCCACTCCTAAATCTTTATTTTTAAATTTGCATCTTGGCTTGCGCTGAGCCACCATCTAAGGCCTGAAACTCTCAGTATCCACATTTGAATTCAAAACAGATTCACTCATAGCCATATCTGGAGGATGAGAAGACTCTTTAACAACCTCAACCTCCAACCCAGTAGACTCCGAGCAAACTTCTAGCCAATGGCGGACCCTACCACAGGAGGAACACAACCCTACAATGCCTTCATACTCAGCCCTCCTCCAAGCAGCACCAATAAAAACTCGTGGAATCAAAGGACGGGATATATCTAATTCAACACACACTCTAGCAAATCTGCCTCGTGTAGCCAGAGCTATTTGCTTGTCAATCTTAACCGGGCTCCCTATCGCACTAGCAGCAACAAAAAGAGCTTCATCACAATAAAAATCCATAGGGAATTCAATCAACCTCACCTATGTAACCATGGAAGAAATAGATGTCGTCGAAGGCTGAAATCTAGGTTTTGACTTTTGAATATAAAGAGACCCCCAACCAAATAAGGACCTTTAGAAATAATACGTAACATATCCTCTTTATCTTCAAACTTAGTTAAATAAAAACCATAACCTAAGTCAATCACATCCAAACATGCACCTGGCTTCCACAATAAATTCAAGCGATTAACTAAATAGGTATAGCTAACCGATTTACCATAGATTTTCACAATCAAAGAATCAACCACAACTTTTGGCTTCAAAGTGTCTGTATTTTCATATTCCAAACAAATCCTACTAGCATAGGTATCTCCTAACTAAAAACCAGAACTTTTCAGAATAGAAGGCTACTCCAATGCTCTAGAAGTAAAAAAACACAACCTAATTATTGAAAGAGCTCAGTAAAAAATTGACCTAAGATATGGTATAGTTAAATCTTGCAAATTAAGCAGTGGGTGCTTCCTATGTCCATATAAAGCCTCACAGAGACTAAAAACCATATTGGGTGGATGTACATAATAACCATAAAGAGGTTGCATGTAAAGCTCTTTATTGAGAAATGATCTAAGCCCTAGAAGCAAATGCCTCCTCATAACCATTTTCATATTCTTGAGCAAATCATTTTCCTCAAGTCTAGCTTAGTCTTAAATTAATAAACTCATTTGTTGCCAACCGCATGTTTTTTTTTAAGTAAATCAAACAAATTCCACATATATTTACTTATTAAAGCTTCATGTCTTTTATAAAAAAATTTTTAGTACTAGCTTTGCAATAACTGTGAGGTTCATATAAAGACCCTTATGGAGTAATAGTGATAATCAAAAAGGGTAAAAAGTTGACTTACTAGGGAGGAAAGAGAAATTAAAGGAGCAAACGAAGGTTGAGTATAAAGTTGTGAAATTAGGGTCCATTGGGGGTGATAGAGACATCATAAGAGGTCAAAGGTTGGTAAATAAAGTAATAGTAGGATCGATTATGAAAGTAGTGGAATTAACTTGAAAGGAAGAAAAAGAAGACAATATCTTATATTTCCAAAAGGTGGCATGACAGAATATTTGAAAGCTCTTGAAAACCACAAATATAGAAGTCTGTTAGGTGATTTAAATTTATGAGTAAATTCTATTTAAATTTAAACGGTTTCTTTATTATTTTTTGACATTTAATATTTTCATTTTCTTTCAAACCACTAGTGGTTTAATGATTGCAGCGATAATATTAGAATATGTTGCTCCCATGCATTGGAGCAGGTGCATGAGAAATATGGTTGGAAGGTAACATTGAAATTTTAAAAGAAAGAATATCCTTAATTATTATTTTTTTGCACAATAATTGCTACCTGAGTTGCCGTATGTGTAGACCATAGAGGTTACTATACCGGAGATAGAAGCAATGCGCCTTGCTCATTATTTAACTATTGGATCTGAGTGTACAACTTCACTTAGTTCCTATCTAGAAAAGCTGTAAGTTTGCGTTTTTTTTCTTTTCCTTTTTTCTTCTCTCTCTTTTTTTTTTTTTTTTTTTTAAAAAATCTAGAAAAGCTGTAAGTTTGCGTTTTTTTTCTTTTTCCTTTTTTCTTCTCTCTCTTTTTTTTTTTTTTTTTTAAAATCACTTTTTTTTTTTTTTTTTTTTTTAAAATCACTTCTCATTTTGTTGAAACTAATGCAATGATAACAGGGATATCGCAGAGTTAGGATGGGACGCAAGGGTCGCACTTTGTGTTTATGGTTCATTCAGCGGCAAAGAGTATATAAAAGCCCAAAAACTTAGGTACCTTGTAATCTTGTATATTTTTATATTTCTGGCCTATATCTATTCACTCCATTTATTTATATTTATATATATACACGTAAATAATGCAGGAACCGAGTAATGCAATTTCACCAAAATATATTTACAAAGGCGGATGTTATTGTTACACCAACTACAGGGTATCATATTGTCAACAAAATATATAATAATAATAACAATAATTTTAAATTAAATGGCTGATAATTAAGGTATTGATTTTGATGACAGTGTGACTGCCTATCCAATTTTCAATGATGCTGTAGAGACCGGTGAACTTGACTACATAAATGGAGGTCTTAAATAATTACTTAATTAAAATTACTATCTTTCTGTCCCATAATATGAGTTGTAATTAATTTCCTAAATAATAACAAAATCAAAAGTAATTTGATTATATTTAGTATAAATAAAAGTAACATTGAAAAAATATCATTTATTACTTATTAAAAAACTCAAAACAACTTATATTTTGGGATAGGGATTACTTCCTTAACTTTGTTTGTTTGTTTGTTTATTTATTTTTACTATTTTCAGCTGCACTTGTTCGATACCAGATAGCAGGAAATTTTTTGGGGCTTCCAGCAGTTACTGTTCCAGTAATTACTGATATGCACTTATTAGTCATTTATATTTTGTATTTTATTATGTTAATGAAACATGAAATTACATATATGCAGGTCGGATATGACGAAATGGGACTGCCTATTGGCCTTCAGTTTATAGGAAGACCGTGGTCCGAGCCTACTCTCATCCACATAGCATTTGCAATCCAGGTGACTCAAATTACATTTTTAATTTTTGATTTTTTTATTATTTACATATTGTCACTACTGCATATAATATATGTTATTTAATTAATAATATTAAGATCTTATAAATTAATTAATTTATACATTGTCAACCAAATTTAATCTGCAAAGTTTTGACAACTAGTTTGTTTATTGTTATTCTAGTTACTTACATAACGGCTGGTATATTGAGAATTTTTTTTCCTAACAAAATGTCCTTTCAGGCTCTACGCATCTCAAATTACAAAAAGCCACAGATTTTCTTTGATTTGCTGAAGGAATAAATACTTGTATACGAAATTGCACCGTTGTTTCTTTACTATGAAAAACATTGTATAGCGGCTCGATATTTTATTATGTATTGAATGAATGTGCAATTTAGTTGGGTCACTAATATGACTCAATAAATTTTAGATTATATATCATTCATGTCACGACCCGAAATTATAAGCCGGACTGGCATTAAGGCCGAGATAAGCTTAAGGCTCTAAAGCCCGTAGTAAGCCTAAACTACTGAACTCATACACGCCACACAAAATCCTAGGAGCAGTAGGCCTATATTAATTCATATATAAATATATATCCAATAATTACACTTTCCTGGCTCAATCTCAAATATCTCAAATAAAATATAGTTCGGGCCTATTAGCATGCATCTCATTCACATTATGCTTACTAATTCATATGAATTTAGATAAATGATAAAGACATTCATAGATTAGCACACTTGTTCAAATTCAAGATTAGAGGTATATAGATCCTACAACTGCGGAGTTCAACAATAGTTAAGAGTAGTGAAGTTTTTACATATAACAATACATAAATTAGTTAATTATAAAATTATGAATTTACTTTTATAGCCCTGCGGAGAAGATTGCAGAGCTTTAGTCGGATCAATAGGCTTCCACTTCCTGACAAGTTAAATAAAGGAAGTGTGAGTTTTACAATTCAGTAAATAATAATAAATAATGCATAACACAAGCATTCACGTGAAATGCATACTAAGGTACTAAAGTGAACACACAACCGGTCAAGCATATGGCACAACATTAGCACTCACAAGTAATTTCACCTTCAAATAATCAAACATGTGGAAATTAGTCAGTGGTGTCACCTAAACCCCCCAATGAACCGTCCTCCCACATGGCTCGCCCTCTCAAACGTGTGCACCAGGGAGCCGATCCCCCTTACATGGCAGACCAGTCTAATCCTCACTGGACCAGCCCTCTCCTTTTTTTATACCCTCTTTTCTTTTCCACACCAACAGGCGGGCACCTGTGGTTTTCCATATCATTTATCATCAGATGCACGCGGTGGTGCCGATCTCCCTATACATGGCCGACAGTATCAAAGACCGTCATTACAAACCCATGGTGACCCACTTCATCCCAATTCCACACAAATAAAGCACAAAAGTTTCACAACACAATTAATCAAACAATTCACTCAGCATAATGCATTAAAGCAGTCCTTAATGCACAAACATAAAAGTTAATCACATACTAATAATGAAATAAAATAATAACACACATATAAAAATAAATGCTAAGTTATCCCCTTATATACATATATATTTATTTATAAAATAAGTGATATGTGTATGCAATGATGGTATGCACTATTTATTATTACTCATTGTGATAGAGAAAAGAAGGTGCTCTATCTCAGATTTTGACTTGGAGGAGCGAGAGACGGGTTCAGACAATCTAAAGAATTTAAGAATACAAGGAAAGAAATGCATCAGATAAAGGACTAATTTAAATAAGGAATTATCTAATAAACAATCTGAGTATCTAACTACTAAAACTAAACTAGATTCTACCGAAATTTCAGCAGCACCTCCCCTAAAAATTGGGCTGTTCACCTATTTAAATTTTAATAATCTCATTAAATATTAACTCAATCCACACAGCCGATCCGTCAGGCAATCAGTCAAAACAGGTTCCCATCCTCCTTTAACCTCAACATCATCATTCAATTATCATAACCATTTTTCATAAACTTAACCTGCAACTTGTCTCAATAATAATATCAACCATTCTTTAATTATTTACTAAAATTTTTGATTAGGCATTAAGAACCACTGTTTCCATTAAATTGCAATTTAACAAACTCATCTTTTAAGTAACCCAATGCACAATTCAAATATATATATCAACACTAATAAGTGTAAGAACATAAAAAATAATATATATGTCCATTTCATGGTAACGTATTAAAAAAAACACAAAATATATTCAAAGTAGTTGCTGCCCGCCAAAAAAAATATGTTCCTTAACTTAAATCATATATATGTATACATATGCATAAGTTCAACTCATTCCCATCATAAATTAAAATTCTAATCACAAAATCCATATAAAAAGAGTTCAAGGCAAAGAGACTATAATGGCTACTGCCATTCCGAATTTCTCAACTTCTTCCACCTAAACCTGCAGTAAATTTATTAGTTGATTTATAGGCATATTGAATTGCAATTCACAATCAAAATTTTAAGAGTAAAGCTTGTAGTTCCTTCCTTTCAATACTAACAGTAACTAACTAAGGGTTAATTCCTAACATTCCAATAATAACATTCCAATAATACTACAAATCATAATCCCAAATGAAGAACTCAAGAAACAAACTCAAAAGGATTGAATTATGGCTCACCTAGTCAAGAAATATGACAGAAAAAATTTGAATATACTCGTTAAAAGTGACCGAAAACGAACTTTAAAATCAAAATCCACTGCTGCCGGCAATAGCTTGACCGAAAATGGGTGGGAAGGTTGATAAGGAACCGGGATCGGGAATCAAAGGAATGAGATGTAAGTTCGCCTCTATGGCACCCCACGTTTATAATGAAACGGAAACACCAATAATCGATGTAAGTTCGCCTCTATGGCACCCCACGTTTATAAATGAAACGGAAACACCAATAATCGAGATTAAAACGCTCTATGGCACCCCACGTTTATCATGAAACGGTAACACCAATAATCGAGCAAAGAACAAGATAAACCGCCACAAACGAATTGATAAGTTTTACCTTAATTCTTGATGCAATTAGAGAATAGCAAATTCTCACAATCACTCTAATTAAGAAGAACATGCAAGAGCATGAACAATTCTGCCTTTGATTCAAATTATGCCAAAAATCTCGTTTTACATATTAAGGAGGCTATTTATATGCCTTAAACAAACATAACCCTAAAGAAGAGCATCTAACTAGGCTGCCCTAGGGCCAAAACACAGGGGCTTAACTCTAAAACACAAAATAAAGTCATTTCCAGCCCAAAACAAACAACTTGATATTGGGCAGATTGCATGCATCATAAAACCAACCCAAAACAACCAACCCAAACAAACTTAAATAATACTATAGAGTCCACATCCCTTATTAATTAGACTAAAAAACAAGCAAGAAAGAATAAGAACGACGTTCAAGCCGCAATCAATGAGCTCTTTGTGATAATTTGGGCTTGAACAAATAAGGATAATGGCTGCCCATATCGATTGGCACAACAAGGGATAAGAACACATCCAAGCCCATTAGGAAGCACCAATGGATCCATATCATTCTCCCTTTCCTCAAAAAGATTCGTCCTCGAATCTTAGTTAAAAGTTGAGGAATCCTTTTGCTTGCTAGGATCAGTCCGCTTCTCCTTAGAATCCATGCCCTTTTCTTTACTCTTTTTCTCCTTTTTAGACCGTATTGAACTCCATTGTTTGCTACAACCTGAATATGCCTTTGCAACACCTTTGTCTCTATTGGATTGCTTCTATTGACTGGTTGATTTGGAATGGTGGAGCCAAGAATGAAATCGATTTGATGTTCTATCCCTCTCAAAGGTGGCAATCCACTACCCACTAAGGCCACTCTTCACGAAAGACATCACGTGAACTCCTCTTTCCTCCTCTCTTCAAGAACTTTTTTTCTGATCAATATTTCACTTCTTGAGGTGTCCAATGGCTGCAAGAACCACTTTTCACCCTCAATCGAAGATTTGGCATCTTTCTGGAAACCCACATGTTAAAGCTGCAAAAGAATCAACAAACACACTTTGGCAAGGATGGGTTAAGAATCATTAGTGGCCAAATAAGCTCCCTTTGCCACAAGACAAGTATAGGCAGATTGTTTGGTACAAGCATGTTTTTATCCTCACTTGTCCTAACGCTATCAAACAGCTATCAAACTCACATTCTTTTCTTTTTCTTTTCCCTCTTTCTTTTTATATGTACTATGTGTATTTCCACTCATTTTATTTTCAATCGCCTTTTCTTTCTTTTCAACATGAAGTCTCATACTTTCATTTTTACATTTATCTACATATACTTCCTTTGACCAAACTGGTGTTAGAATGGTCTTATGCTCTTCCTTTGTGGATGAATATCTGCTGAGGTAATCCACATTCTTCCCCTTCCTTGCACCCTTCCTAACTTATTGTTCAAATCCCTAAAGTAATGATTAGGATTATCGACCTCCTCATCTTTAGGAGTTTGAAATCTAGTTGGCGCAGTAGTAGGACGAGCTCTTGTTGTATTAGAGCGTTGGGCGGCTTTAATCTCCTGCAAATCCTTTCTCATAGAATTGTTGAAGGTTCTAAATTGTCCTAGGATTGACTCCATTACAAGTTTCAACTGGGGATCCTCCATTTGACTTCCCTCCCCACTATTATCTCCAAATGCGCCTGCACTCATGGTTAGTGTTCAAAATAGAAATCACAAAAACATTTGAGTTAGTGATAAAGCACTCCCTCACGTGTTTATACTCTTTAATCACTCCATGCAAATCCTCCAATTGTACTTCAGAATTTCAGGCCAACCAATCAACCTCAAAGCACGTTTAGAACACAAGGAAAATAAACCTTAACAAAAGAAATGTAAGCACAATTCTAGAATGAAAACTCAAACGAAATGAATGGTATACAAATATAAACAATGCACTACTGTAATTATCAATTAGAGTGTAGTAAACAAGCAAATACACCCTAACAATGTAATAGAAGCAATAGAAAGTTTAAACAAAAAGTAAAGAAACTAGAATTTAAAAGACAATTTCAGGATATAATGTATGAATTTAGTTTACTACAAAGCAAACCAAATATGGACCTAATTAATTTCTACCCAAAACAAAGCAAGCAATCAAAGAAATCCAAAAAGAAAACAAATTTTTTTTTTAATAGGGTCAGAACCGAGCACGGGCGTGCTAGATTGAGCACGGGCGTGCGTTTAAGGCCTAGTCCAACAAGTGGAAGTCAGGAACTAGCACGGGTGTGCTTGAGGTGAAGCACGGGCGTGCTGCCTTGTTTTGACTTATAATCCTCACTTAACCTAACAAAATGTGACCATTTAGGCTAGGGTAGGGCCTTAACAAGGTATAAGTGGAGGTTTGGTGTCTCCCAATT